CCCCGCCCAAAAAAAAAAAAAAAAAAAAAGGAATGGCTGGTTCAGGCCGGCTCTTGCGGTGCAGCGGTAATGCACTGCTCAAGGGAAGTGGACCCCACACGGCAGCCATGGTTAGAATCTATAGTCTGATCAGCCTGAAACATGCTGGACATGCACGTGAGTGCCTAGGATCCGTGCGCAGGATCTTAATGGCTAGAGGACTACAGGAAGGGAATCGCAGTCTGACCAGACTCTGCAGGGGCTAATCTCACTCTATCTCTCTCTCTCTTTCACATACATACCCACACACACATTACTCATGTGTATGTACATACTCCATCATGAAGAAAAATAATGTAAGGAAAAAAAAAATTGACCCCCAAACAGAAGTTAGTAAACCAGGGCTCTTTTGTAAGTGAGTGATGTCAGAGCATAGTCATATTACACATATGTAATATGATAATAATGTGCTTCATATTGTCTAAGGCTGCTTTCATATCACAGACAGAGCTGAGTGGTTTTCCTCTGTGATAACTACTCAGAGACAACACAGTCTGCAAAGCCCAAGATATTATTATCTGACTCTTTACCAAAAAAATGTTTGTTGATTCCTAATCTAGGGTAATTGCCCAAAACAGCACAATATTATTTTTTCCCTCCCTCCCTACACCTATACAATATAATACACAGATATGAATACCTGTATTTTCATATCTCTGGTGAAAAAAGAAATAATTAATACCAAAGCCATGTGTGTTTCTCCTCCTTCCAGCCCGTCATATTCTTCTATATTCTACCTCTACCCTCCAGAGGTAACTGCTATCCTGAATTTAGTGTTTATTCTCTCTCACCTATTTATATATTACTACATACATGTGTCCCAAAACAATATATAGAACTCATTTATACTATTTAAAAATTTACAGAAATACAAAGCTATATGTATATTTCAGTTTGCGTTTACCTTTTCTTCCTTTTTTTTTTTTTTTTTTAAGTTTTTGCCATAGGGCATGTGAGCTCATTGGAGAGAGACAGAGAGATACAATGAGAGGTAAATTAAGAAATCACCCTGTCTTCCATTCTCCTCCTCGGATTTTTGGGCACACATGCACATGTGCCCAGTGTGATTTTCAAGCATCCAGGTCCAGGATTTGAATTGCAGTCAGCCATGTGGGAGTCCTGTTCTTTAATCACTACACTACCCACTGGCCCCCATTTACCTGTTCATTTGACATATATCAGTGATGATTATAACTCAAGTGCAAAATTCCACTTAATAGCTCTATATAATTTCATTTTATGGATGGTCTAAAATTTATCATATATTTGCCTGCTAATGGACATTCCAGATGTTTCCAAGTATGTGACAGTACAATAACATTGTCCACAGTCTCCGAATACCCTGAAGGCTGACTTGTTGGATCATAGAATGAGCAGCTCAAATGTGACTAGACAGTATGTGATAGCACCTAATGCTCCAGACCCTCACCAACACTTGGTATTGTCAGATTTCTTAACTGTTGCCAATTTAAAGGGTAGAAACAAGTCTTTTTTTTAAAAAAAAGAATTACTTAATTTTATTTATTATTTTAATATATTTTTTATTTGCTATAGGGCATGTGTGCTCACCAGAAAGAGACAGAGACAAAGTGAGAAAGCAAGAAGCAAGGTCTGGGATTTGAACCATAATCAACTATGTGAGCATCCAGTACCTTAAGCGCCATGCTACCTGCTGGTCCAGCAAGTCTTATTTTTATAACAAGAAAGGAAAGGGATCTGTAGGGTGGAATTTAAAGTACTTTTCATACCCTATTATGGTTCCGAACTTGGAAAATACAGAAAGTCAATAAGACATGAGATGTGTTTTGGTATACTTCTATTCTTCAAACTAAATCAATAAAAATGTACCCCAGTCTTTCAATAAAGCAAAATATTAAACATACTAATAGGAAACTAAAAAGAGAGAAAAACAGCAGAAGAGTTCTCATCTCTCACACTCTAAAGGAGTTACTTTAAATAAAAGGCCATTCTCATCTCTCACACTCTAAAGGAGTTATTTGAAATGAAAGGCCAGCAGATTAGGCACTAATTAAAAACTGTAGTTATTTGGACCAGCAGGTGGCATAGTGGTTAAGGTGCTGGACTCCCACATGACTGATCACAGTTCAAGTCCCAGATTTAGCAGCTTGAAACTCACATCGATGTGTGTGTGTGTGCTTAAAATCTCTGGAGGAGAATGGAGGAGCAGGGATTGTGGCATGGCCATCCTTCCCCTTGGTGGGGGGCGAGGGGGGGGGAGATTTCTCACTTTCCCTCTCTGTCTCTCCAGCAAGAACATGTGCCCTATACCAAAAACTCTGAAAAACAAATAAAACAAAAAAAAACAAACCTGAACCTCACTGTACAGTTCCACATATGTGAAATTCTAGAAAGGGAAACTAATCTATAGTGACAGAATGATTGCTGGGCACTGCTGGAGACTGGGTGAGAAGGGCACAAAGGAACCTTTGGGGGTGGTGAAAATATTTTAGAACTTAAATGTGAAATTACATGGTATATACATTTGTCAAACCCAGTGAACTGTGCACATCAGGTAATAAGTATATTTTAGCTTAGCCACTGTGGGCATGACATTAAAATGTGGTGCTCCACAAGTTGGGATCATCAGGAAGGCTCAGGTTCCATTCTCCTCCAACCTAAAGGCTGAGGACAGCAGCATGTAAACCCAGACTTGGGAGGCCAAGGTAGGAGGATATCAAGCTCAAGGCTGGCTTAGGCAACACAGTAAGCCCCGTCTAAAAGGCAGCCAAGTTTGATGGTGTGCATCTATAATCCCAGCTAGGAGGTCAAGGCAAGAGGATCATGATACAGCAAGATCCTGTCTGGAAAAAAGAGTGTATTTTATTGAATGTGACTCATACGTTAAAGTGTTAATCCTCATGTCTTTAATTGGAAGAGTTAAGGGGACATGTCTATGAACAAAACTACCCAGTGAAAGATTAGAAAGATTAGAAATTGCTCCTCTTAACTTCTCTGCCAAGCACATAAATTGGTCTGATGAAAGAGCATAGATTAATAGCTATAAGGACTACAAATGACAATAAAATACTTGTTTATTAGAACAGAAGGATCAGGCCAGCCTGCTGCCTAGTCGTTAAGGGAGCTGGATCCTACATTGCCAACCACAAGGTTCAAGTCCTGGTCCGGCAGTTTGAAAAATGCATGTGTATACGTGCCTCAAATCCTGACACAATGGAGAAGTAGAGAAGGGATTGTGGTATATCACAACCCACAGGAGGGCTCTTTCTCCCCCTCTCTCTT